TGGGAGAGAGGATGTGGGCACCGCTTTTCCGCCGCAGGGCCTGGGCGTGGACGGGACCCAGAGGTCCCACCCAGGACGACTCCCAGCCCTGCGTCCTCCGGGCCCCATCCTGGAAGGGCAGCTGGTTGTGGGCTGGTTGTGGGCTGGCGGGGAGTAGGGGTTGGGGGAGCGGAGAGTGAGGTGGTGGCGGCTCTGGGGGTGGTGTTGCGGCCGCACCAACAGGGATGGAATAGACTTCTAGATGTCAAAAGTCAAGCTGACAGAAGTGACGTAGAAATGGAGGAGGAGGTAGGAACTGCAAGGGCGGCAAGAAAGAGGAGGTAAAGATGGCGGGAGAGAGAGGCAGGTGGAAACCATGAGGATTAGAGGGCTTAGATACAGGAGGACAACTGAGTCTGTGGTACAGAGGGGAGACTGAGGCACAGGGGGGTGGGCTGGAGCCTCTCCAACCACCTCCTCCCGGAGAGATGCCTTGGGGAGTGGCCTGGGAGCCTCCAGGAGTCATGGCCTGGACTTGTAGCCCAATCTACGCCCGAGGCTGGGAGCAGGCCTTGCCCCCGCCCCTCCCTGGGCCGTTTCCTCCGGGTGACTCACCTCCGAGTGATGAAGCCGTGGAACCAAGGAGGGGCTGCCCCGCGCTGCAGGAGCCCACGGGCCTGGGTCCTCTGGAACCAAGCCCGGGTCTCGGCCTGCAGGGCCTGGCCCCCTTCCGCAGGCACCTCCTCAGCTTTCCCAGTGTCCTCTTGACTGGAGGCAGCCCCCGGGGCCTGGGGAGAGGCCTGGTTAGGGTTCAAGGAGGGAAGGTCGCCATGATTCGTGGGCCCTCTCCTGACTCCAGGCCAGCGGCCACCTTCTCATTCTTACCCCAGACCCTCCTGGGCGTGGGAGGAAGCTCCAGCCCCCATCCCAGTTGCCTATTTTAAGTCTAATTGCCCAGAAAGTCCTTCCCAAAGTGTAACTTAAATCCCGTCTTCAGCTCCCCCGCTGTCTGGTTTCAGGGATATTTCTTTCTACTTCCCTCTTGGCCTTGAAGCCAGGAGCAGTAAGCTGTTAAATTGTGCCTAAATGGGGGTGAAGTCTTCCAGACAGGCAGAAAGTCATGCCCTGGCCTGAAGGATGAAGACAGTGATGCTGGAGGTCACCCCAGAGGCCAGAATGAGGGAGAGCTCACCCTACAGGAGGAGGGACTGCACAGGTTGGCAGGGAGGACCTTCTAACCACTGGGCAGGCTAGAGGGACTGAGCTGGGCATGTATGTGCCAGGCGAGTAAAAGCCGCGGGTGAAGGAGTCCTGCTTCCAGGACTCGATACCCTCACTGTGCCTTGGTCACCTGGGGACTCAGCTGAGCTTCCCAGGGACCGAGGAGCAGTTCAGCACACGAAGGAGGGACTTCCCACCTCCTTTTCCTCTCTGTGCCCTTGCCCTGCAGGCAGCCCCAGACTGCTCCTGCTTTCTCCCGTTGGCCTCTGTCCGTCTGTGTGTCCTCACCCCTGGGAGGCTTGGGAGCAGATGAAGGAGCTGCACCCCAGGTTCCTACTCACCGCAGCGTGGACATCTGGGGCTCTGGGGCTGAACGGGGCCTCTCCAGCCTGCAGGGCCTGGAGTCTGGTCTCCTTAGGCAAGCCCTGGCAGCTTTTTTGAGTGAAGTCCAAGGGCTGGAAGGTGGTGAAGGTCGGAGGGGGGGTGTTGTGACTTCCTGTTGGCACAAAGAGGACGGAGGGGCTCTCAGTGAGGGACTGCCTCTCTCTGCTGCCCACCCTCCCCCAGGCTGAGAGGTGCCTCTGACCAGGGACCCGGAGGACAGGCGCAGTCACGACAGCAGGAGCAATGCAGGTAGGACAGTGGGGGGAGACGGGGAGTTTATCAGGTAAGAGGAGTATGGAGCCAATGGGGCGAAGAGGGGCGGAGGCAGCAGAGGGGCTTGTTGGGGACAACTGGGCACCCGGAAAGAAGGTGGATGTCTGCTGGTAGTCTGGTGGCCTGGAAGTCAGTCCCACAATCAGGGAGCTGAGGCAGATCTCTTTATTTTAAAAAGTATCTTTTTTTTTTATTGATTTCAGAGAGGAAAAGAGAGGGAGAGAGAGGGAGAAACATCAAAGGTGAGAGAGAATCATCGATTGGCTGTCTCGTGAAGGTCCCCTCCAGGGATCGAGCCAGCAACCTGGGCATGTGCCCTGACTGGGAATTGAACTGTGACCTCCTGGTTCATAGGTTGACGCTCAACCACTGAGCCATGCTGGCCGGGCTAGGCAGATCTCTTCAGTGCAGCCCCTCTTTCTGGCCTAGGGTCCCCCGGCTTCCCCCATTCCTCTTCCCTCCCCCCTAAGAAGCACACAGCAGACCCTGTCACCTTTGTTCTCAGGGCTGAGGGGACCTGCAGTCCCAGAGAAGGAGAAGGGGTGGTGGGCCCCCTGCCAGCTCTGGCTTGTGGGAGGGTTCTGGCCCGGGGGCCTCCTTGTCCCCTCCCACCCACATTCTTAAACATCACACTTACCTTGGGGGCTTATCTGGGCCAGGGGGAGCTCCATGGGGCAGCCTGAGAAGGAGCCCGGGAGCCGGGTGTGTGTCTGTGTTCTCAAAATGTGTGCACACTCAGCAACTCTTCTCTCCCCCTGCCCCCTGGGCAGGAAATGTCGCTCTACCCACAACCCTAGCCCTAGCAGAGCACCCACGTCATGGAAAGCCATAAGACGGTCGTCCCTCCCCCGGAAGCCAGGCAGCTGAAGGTGGTGGTGGTGTGGTGGTGGGTGTTTGTGTCAGTCGCTCTGTCTGGGTGTTAGGAAGTCCATTCTGCTATCTGACCTCGATCCCCCCTGATTCTTTCTTTACTCCCTCACTCCAGACGGGGACTTCCCTTTCTCTCTCTCTGTCTCCGTCTCAGCTTCTGCTCTGAGCAGTGGCAGTGGGGATATCAACCTTAGGGCGATAAGCCCTACAAGGTGCTCAGGCTTCGGACTCCCTGGAGATTTATACTCAGGATGTTCTTGGGACACCTGAGGAGGGGAGCAGGCAGGGCTGCAACAGGAAGGACGTAGGTCAGACTACTGGAAGGACATTTTGAGGTTTATGAAATCTGTGAGACAAAGGGTAGGGAGGAGGGGGCCTGGCTTCATCCTCCAACAGATACAGAAGTGGTTAGGGCAAACCAGGCAATCCTAGAGGAAGGAGGGAGAATTCCCTCCAACTAGGCAGACTGTCTTAGTAGTAACACTGTTAGCAGTTGTTAGACTTCAATGCTGATGTCTCGCAGGGGGCTGTGTCTCCTGCTGCACTAGAGGACCAATCCCATTCTCTCTCATTTGACCCCTCGCGAATGAGAAGGGGACCCCGGGAACATGACCCCCATTTTCCAGAAGGGGAAACTGAAGCTCAGAGAAGTGCCTTCGCCAGGGTTTTCAGTGTCTCAGAAGGTGGTGACAGAGTTGGAGCAGGATCTAGATCTCTTACTAATCTCACCGTGATTTAGGCCAACGGTCCTTGACTACGTGCCAGGCACTGTTCTTGGTGCAAAGAACCCAGAGAGAAAAAGGATCTTGTTTCAAGATGTCAGGTGGCATGATGCTGTTTATAGAAAACCCTAAAGACTCCACCAAAAAAACTGTTAGAAACAATAAACAAATACAGTAAATTTGCAGGATATAAAATTAGTGTATAAAAATCCACTGCTTTCCTATGTACTAACAAGTTTCTGAAACTTCAGAAAATGAAATGAAATAAAGAATTCCTTTTGCAATTGCAACCAAAAGAGAAACAGAGGATGTGAAGGACCTATATACTGAAAACTACAAAGCATTACTAAAAGAGATTGAAAAAGACAATGAAATTGAAAGCTATTCCATGTTCATGGATTGGAAGAATCAACATAATTAAAATGGCCAGCCCCACCAGTGTGGCTCAGTGGTTAAGTGTTGACCCATGAACCAGGAGGTCAGGATTTGATTCCTGGTCAGAGCACATGCCCAGGTTGCAAGCTCCTTTCCCAGTGTGGGACATGTAGGAGACGGTCAATCTATGATTTTTTCTCATCATTGATGTTTCTCTCTGTCTCTCTCTCTGTCTCTCTCTCTCTCTCCCCCCTCTCCCTCTCTTCCTCTCTGAAATCAATAAAAACATATTAAAAAAATAAATATTATGGCCATATTACCCAAAGAAATATACAGATTTAATACAATCATCAAAATCCCAATGTCATTTTTGTTGTTGTTGTTAATCTTCACCCGAGGATATTTTCCCATGGATTTTTTAGGGAGAGTGGAAGAGGGAGGGAAAGACAGAGAGAAACATCGATATGAGTGAAACACATCAATTTGTTGCCTCCTGCACACTCCCTGACCAAGGCCCGGGCCAGGGAGGAGCCTGCAACCAAGGTACTGATATGTGCCCTTGACTGGAATCAAACCGGGACCCTTTGGTCTACAGGCTGACGCTCTACCCACTGAGCCAAACTGGTTAGGGACCAATGTAATTTTTAAAAGAAATAGAATAAAAAATCGTCAGATTTGTATGGAACCACAAAAGACCTTTCCCAGTGTGGGACATGTAGGAGACGGTCAATCTATGATTTTTTCTCATCATTGATGTTTCTCTCTGTCTCTCTCCCTTCCTACCTCTGAAATCAATAAAAAAGCATTTTTAAAAATATATAATTAAAAAAATAGAGACAAGGTACTGATATGTGCCCTTGACTGGAATCAAACCGGGACCCTTTGGTCTACAGGCTGACGCTCTACCCACTGAGCCAAACTGGTTAGGGACCAATGTAATTTTTAAAAGAAATAGAATAAAAAATCGTCAGATTTGTATGGAACCACAAAAGACCCCGAATAGCCAAAGCAATTCTGGGAAAAAAGAATGAAGCTATCACACAATCTGATTTCAGATTATACTACACAGTTATGATAATCAAAACAGCAAGGCCTTGGCAAAAGAACAGACACAGAGACCAATGGAACAGAATTGAGAGCCCAGAAATAAAACTACATTATATGGGCAGATAATTTTCAGCAAAGTAGCCAAAAGCACACAATGGTGTAAAGAAAGCCTCTTCAATAAATGGTGCTGGGAAAACTGGAAAGCCACACACAAAAGAATGAAACTAGATTATAGTTTGTCCTCTTGTACAAAAATTAATTCAAAATGGATCAAAAACCTAAATATATGATCTGAAACAGTAAAGTACATAGAAGAAAACATAGGTACTAAACTTATGGACCTTGGTCATAGAGAACATTTTATGATTTTGACCCCAAAGGCAAGAGAAGGGGAGGCAAAAATAAATGATTTTTAGAGAGGGGCGTGATTGGGGGGGGAACACTTTGGTTTGTTGTTCTGCTTATTTGTGCATTCATTAGTTGATTCTTATATGTGCCCAGACCAGGGATCAAACCTGCAACCGTGGCATATTAGGACGATGCTCTAACCAATTGAGCTACCTGGCCAGGCCTCATGCAATTACTGGTACATTCTGGAGCAGCTCAGCCTGGTCCAGAGGTAGCACATATTCTCTGTCAGCGAGGGCATGACCTTGTTCCAGAACCTCAGGGCATGTGCTGCAATTCTCCATCAGAACTTGCCAGAGACTCCACACAGCATCCTGCTCTGCCACCAGCGTGTCTAGCACCCCTGGACATGCTGGGTCACAAGGCCCAAGAGCCGGAGCAGCTGGTTCGCAGCCCAGGGCTGCTGCAGGGGCACTTGAATCTGGGGTGCACTTGAAGCTGGCGGCCTTCGGTGTCCCCCAATGATTAGCTTGAAGTGGTGTTCTCAAGCACAGCCTACCTTGCACACAGCATCCTGCTCTGCCACCGGCGTGTCTAGCACCACTGGACATGCTGGGTCACAAGGCCCAAGAGCCAGAGCAGCTGGTTCGCAGCCCAGGGCTGCTGCAGGGGCACTTGAATCTGGGGTGCACTTGAAGCTGGCGGCCTTCGGTGTCCCCCAATGATTAGCTTGAAGTGGTGTTCTCAAGCACAGCCTACCTTGCCTCCAAAATTCAGAGGCCAGATGAATGCTGTGCCCCTCTCTTAGTGCCAGGATGCAACATCGTGTCCTTGCCAGCAAGCGGCAGACCAGGGCTTTTGGGAAGGAGGTGGTGACCGAGGGCGTCTGAGATCTGTGTCCAGTGTAGCTAGGATGATGCATGCTTCTGATAGAACCAATACCTTTCTTCGCTTTTTTGCTCCTCTTGTCTGCTGTCAGGGAACAAAACCGATGAGGTTTTGTCTTTACCAGCCCTTCCTTTGTGTCCGGACTTTACCAATAGCCTACGATTACCTTGTATAATAAATTACTATTTGATAAGTAACCGCCAAGGGCCGGCCTTGTGTTATCTGAGGATTACCTGGCACCACGTTACAAGTGGGAAAACGGAGATCCAGGCCAAGAGACGTAGCCTCAGTCGCACCCACCTGCCCTTTTGCTCTCTTGGGTGCGCCCCCACCCCCACTGGTGAGCACCGGCCTGGAGATCACATGGAGGCCTTGTGTTGGGGGCGGGGCACATCCGGAGGGGGCAGAGGGTCACTCAGGTTCCCCCCCATCTCAGGTTGTGCTGGGCTGGTCCTGATGCGTGATTTCACAGGACAGGGGACTAGGCAGAGGTGCAGGGGGAGAGGGAAGGTGGCAGCAGGGGAGAAGTTCTGAGAAGGTGGAGAAAGATTCTGAGCTGAGGACTCTCTCTCTCTCTCTGGCAGGCAGAGAAGGAGAGAGTGGACAGCAGGGCAGAGGTTGACAGCTGAGTCAGGCAGGGAGCAGTGCGATGGAAGCGAGGGGCCACCAGTGTCCATCTCTCAGAGTGGCAGGCAGGGTGGGCTCACTGCCGCCGAAGCAGGAAGGATGAAGGTAACAGAGTCACACCAGGGAGAGACCTGCATGCGGGAAGGCCACGGGCTGAAATCTGATAAGAAGCAGCAAGTGCTTTGTAAGCTGCAGAGCACGTAGAAATGATTGTCGTAGTCTAATTGTGAGAGCCTGTAACTAGACGCTGCAGGAGCCCAGTCGGTGCCAGGGAGAGAAGGGCACGCTGCCCTGCAAGTGACAAATATTATGCGGGCCATTGTTGGCCTTTGCTCGGACCGACGCAGAAGAACATCTGGAAGTGTCAATGCACATCTGGGAGGTGGGGCTGTGGGTGATTTATATCTTGTTTCTGCTTATCTGTATCTTCTCTTTATGATTGTAAAAGCACATACATTATTTATAGAGTGAAAAACACGCAGTTTGCTTTCAAAAGGAGCCTCCCTGGGCGGGTGGTGGAGGGTGCGGGGGAGGGGGGTGAGGCCGGAGGAGCCGGCAGCCTGGCCCTCCCCTCTCTCTACCTGGTTGGGTGCCACGGAGTCTGACCCACATGCATTGTCCAAGAATGTCTTTCCTCCACGTTCTGGGCTGAACCAGAGTCGGTTGTTGTGAACTTGGGATGGGCAGCATGTTTTGTGTCTGGGGAAATAAAGACAGGCAGGAGATAGAGAAAGGCAGACACTTCTCAGAGATTTCCTGGCAACTCTGCCTGCCCCCTACGCCCCAGCCAAAACAGCCCTTTGCTTGCAGTGTCTTTGGGGCCATAAAAAGTGAAGGGGGCACCCTCCCCTCCCAACGCCGCAGGATCAGCCTCCACCTCTAGTGGCTCTCACGCACCCCTCATTCCTCAGTACCACGCCTCTTGCCTTTCCCATCCCACCCCCACGTCCTCTGTCCAGCTTTGCTTCCCAGTCTGAGTGTGGACCATCACACCCCGAAGGCCCCCCCCACATTCTTCCCCGCGGGGCCCTCACCCTCCTCTCTTTCCCAGCCTAGACACACCCTCCAGGTCCTGTGAGCCTGCTGTTCCCCACCTGCTCAGAATAATCTCCAATATCAGTCATTCCTTATGCTGGGAAGAGCTTTCCAGTTCCAATGCATGTGTGCGTGCGTGCATGCGTGTGCATGTGTGTGTATGTGAGTGCATGTGTGCATGTGTGAAAATCCACTTGAGAGAGAATGTGTCAGTGATCTGAGAGGCGAAATGACTTGCCTAAGGTCACATCACATAGCCAGTCCTTGGACGTCCAGCGCCTTCCCCCACCATCCTGCCCCAAGGGCCGAAAATAAGCTGCATTGTCCTCCCTTGTCCCTCAGCCCCTTCCCTCTCTCTCATCTGAAGTCTTCATTCCCTCTCAGTAATTCCTATGGAGGACAAATCTGTCTACTTTCCGTGCCATACGGCAATCTCCCATAGTCACTGTTTCTGATGTGAACTTTCTTAGAAATCTGTCTTGTGCCTGTTCACTTGATAAGAATGTCATCTTGTGCTATTATGATGTCAATATTCTGCTTTATTTCTATAATGTTTTTCACGAACTAAGGAAAACGGTTTCTTTAAAAACTAAGACATTTTCTCATTAATTCTGTATCATATTTACAGCGGAGGGAAAACTGTTTTAACCGAAGTGTAAAATGGTTAACGGTGGCAACTGATAGAGTCTGCTTAGAGTTTATAAAAAATGTATACCAAAGAGACATTCATAAATAAAACAGGCACTTGGAAAACTCCTTTGAAAGCAGACCTAGGGATGTCACCTACACCCTTTGCACAGATTTTGTTAAAATGCCAGATCTAGAAACGCACTGTCAGGCAACCAAGTGCCCACAGAAGGGACTGTTCCATACAGCTTTCCGTGGCTTCGTTCGGAGTGACGGATGCAAATACCGTCTGTGAAGCCTGAATTGACTCTTTCACTCGGTGACAGACTTCTCCTGTGAAGTCTGAGCATGTTGCATTGCCTCCCGAATCTTTTGGGCCTTAGTTCCATCAGCATCAGGGTGGCTGAGGACTTAACCTCAAGTCCCTGACTGTCTACCCAAGGCCTCACCACGTGCCGTCTCCTTCCCTCTGACCATGTGCCAGGCCCTCACAGTCCCCTCTGCTCTGTCTCCATCGTAGCCTTACCAGCCTGGATTCCTAATCGGGTACCTGTTCATCCTCCCTCATCCTCTCCAGGGGTGGACAGTGCCACTCGTGTCCACTCACTAGCGACTCCTTTCGACAAGTGGCCCAGCGGGGCTCTTACTCGTGGCAGGCAACAGGAGAGGGCCCAGGTGCTCACACCTTCTGACACCTGGGAAAAGACAATGATGGGGAGGAGGAAACCAAAACCCACCTCTCACTCCTGGGGCAGGCAGTGTTGGCCCCAGGGTGGTGCCCGGGAGCCTCTAGCAGGAACGAAGGAGACCTTTGCTGTGGGGCCGTGGCCCTGTGCTAACATCTCCCTGTTCTATCCCCCAGCAGAAGGTTGGAGACAAAGGCAAACAGCTTGGAGACCAGGAGGAACTCCCACGGCATTCTTCACACCAGGCAGGGGAAGGTCCACGGTCGACTGCTCCCTGTCATCCCATCCAGCACCCTATACTGGCTGGACAGACTCGGGCTCATAGGAAGGCATACATTTTGGCACCTAAGAAACTGGAAAAGTTTCAGTAGAAAAGGTAAGCAGACTTGAAAGTATAAGAAAGACAAGTGCTTATAAGGGGTAAGCGTTTTTTTCCATCCTTTTCCTCCTTGTTCTTATTAATAGCAGTTATTTATTTACACAAATGGTTTTCTCGGGACCATGGGCATGATATGCTATTTTAAGTTGTTTCTGTGTTATAAAATCTATCATTTATTGGCAATTCCTCAGTGTTTCTCATCAAACTCATATGAAAATTCCTACAATTGAGTTTTAAGTATAATAGTGTATCTGAGACTTTATACCAAGCAGTTCCTAAACATAGATGTCAAATTTCCCCAAAAGGGCCCAGCTGCGTGGTTCACTGGTTTGAGGGTTGACCTATGAACCAGGAGGTCATGGTTTGACTCCCGGTCAGGCGACATGCCTGGGTTGCAGGCTCGATCCCCAGTGGGGGGCATGCAGGAGACAGACAATCAATGATTCTCATCATTGATGTTTCTCTCTCTCTCACTCTCCTTTCCTCTCAAAACATCAGTACAAATATTTAAAAAATTCCCCCAATGGGAGCCATTTTGAATTTGGTGGACTGGAAAGGTTTCAGGAAGTATTATGAATCTTCTTGTTGAAAAATAAAGGCAAAAAATAAGATTAATTGTAGGTATCATTTATCTTTAGTAAAAAATAGCTCTCGGGACGTATTAAAGGAAGCTACTGTCTGCAAGGCAAGGGGATGAAGCGACTTTGTCCTTATGGACTGAAATGTACGGAACCATCACTGACATCAGTGAGTGTCTGTACACTAGCACTGATGCCCGCAGGGGACACAAATTCTTGTTCATCTGCCATCTTCAAGGCATATAGTTGGTTATGCTTCAGAAAAATTCTCTCAAGTTTTTCTTCCAAAGACCATGACGGTGAGAAGGGAGATTTGTGCATGATAGCATAGAAATGACTTCTGCAGAAGTTAGAATGATGAGATGCCCCTGGCTGGGCATCGAAGACCTGGTGCCCTGCCATACAAGCTCTTTGGACCTGGAGGGGGCACAGTGCTATGGAGCTGACCTAAGAGCATGGAACCATGGAGGGTGTTTCTGGGATCTCCCTTTTAGTCACTGCGTTTCCTTTATGCCTCTGTGGTAAGTGTCCATCCCTCCCTCCCAGCTGTCTCTGGGTGAGGAGACTCTCCTCCCCTCCACACAACTCCCCTGTATAGTTGGGAAGTCCCTTCTGAAGTCTAACCCCCATCCCTCCTGCTACCTTGGTTAATCCACTTCTTTCCTAGGGTGTGGTTGGCAGTAGAGTTTGTATTCTAGCATCCCTTCATCCTTCTCCCCAAAGTTCTTGGCCAGCCACCACCTGCTCATCTTTGGAGATGGAGCACAGACAGAATTTTTCTGAAGCTCTCTTTCCTTCTGCATCCAGTCCCTTCCTTAAGCCCCTCCATATTCAGATAACCAGCCTTCCTGGGCGTGCAGGGTCCAGCACTGTGGAGGTTAGGGGGCATGGGTGGAGATGGGAGGCTTGAGCCCACTGCTGCCCTCCGGGCCTTTGCAAGTTCAGGGGCGCCTGTGTGCTCTGTGTGAGTCTCAGATCCTGGGTTTCTGTGTGGAATATCTCCTGCCTTCTACCTGTTGGAGGCCTCTCTGAGACCCAAAACACAGAGGAGAGACAATCTTTTCCCCCTAAGCTGTGGTTCCGCCAGCAACCATTAGGGGCCACTGTTGCTTCAGCTTCCAATGACAAGTGGGTCAGGGCAGGGGTGGGGGACAGGAGGTCCTTAGTGCCAGGGCCAGGGTGATATGAAATTGTCATAGACTCATGCCCAGTCCACTCAGGCCCTGCCTTAATGAGCTGTGGTTTGTGGGACAGCTGCTGGAGTGAGCACATCTCTTCAGACTCCAGGTGTGTGGCAGGGAGTGGCAGCGTATGGCAGCCTCTGGCAGCGTATGGCAGCGTGTGGCAGCAGGAGCTATCGCCCTGAGAATCTGGATGCAGGAAACGCTGGTACAGGATGCTAAAAAGTCCTGAGCTATGACTAACCCCTTCCGCTGCCCCCCTTCACCAAGGTTTTAAGTCATCCATCTGTGGTTCTTTCCCTTCAAATGCCCGGATGGCCCTGGCATAAGAGCTGGGAAATGAACTCCCCTGTGCTCCTTCAACCTGCCTCCAGGGCGTCTCTGCTGGGGGAGGGGCGCCAGACACACAGACTCTGGTCTGATTTGTGTCTCCTGCCTCCCTGAGTGGCACTGAGCAGGGACTGGTGATGTCCTCAAGGCGCTCCCCCGCCCCCTCTTCTGCCCACTTCAAACCATGTCTGCCCATGGAGGCAGCAAGGGAAAACTTCAAGATGAGGTGTCAGGATGGGTTGGTGAGGCTGAGAGGCCAGATACCGGGTCCCCTGCTAGCTCAGCCACTTCTGCTGCCTGAGCTCAGACACTGGGATGGTCCTGCTTCCCTGCCATGGCAACTCTGGCTGCTCAGGTCCTCCGGAGGTGGTGCTTGACAGCAGTGTATTCATCCCCTATCCCTGCTTCGGGGTCACCACCTCAGATCTCCACGGAAGGAGGGAGGGAGGAAGCTCATCCAGCGTTAACCCCGTAGAGATGAAGAGACAATGGGCCGCTGGGGACCAGGGTACAAACAGACATTGGCATTTATTGTGGCTTCCCCGGAGAGGGGAGGGGTGGGGGCAGGAGTGAGGGCAGGGAGGAAGCAAACCTCTTAAAGCCTTAATAATCGAAGGGTCTGAGGGAGATTGAGGGGATGAGACTGGGAGGGGTGGGGTGATTCACTCCAAGGGATTTTCCAGGGGAAGAGGACAGAGGAGCACCAAGCTTGGAAATCCCTGTGATGGCAAAGGAGAGGAGGAAGTGAGGGCAGGCCTAAGGGCCGGGCTGAGAACCGTTCCCCCTGGGCTCTGAGGCAGAGGGTAGGCGGTGACACGCAGTGGTGAGAAAGGCAGTTATGTGGACCATCCTTCCAGCAGCCCAAACATGGACAGAGAAGGGTCCAGGCCCATTCTGGTCACTTATCTGGTTTCAAGTGTGTTGATGGCCCCAGATGTCCACAGAGACCTGAGGGCTGAGGGTGGGGTTCTCCCAACAAGACCTCTGGGGTGGACAGGCCCACGCTTCTTAGTCTGAGTACGGGCTCGGTGAGGGCCTCGTCTCCGCTCCTGCTGGGACCTTGCTGCCTTCCTCAGGGAGGACTCAGTGAGTCTGCTCTGACCACCCCCCACCTTGCCTGCCCCTGCTGCCTGCCCCTCCCTTGGCCACCCCATGGTCAGGGGGTATGAAAGCCCGCACATCTCTCAGCCACAAAGGTCAGAGCCCTTCCTCTCTGCCCGTGGGGGGCCAATCAGACAGGGAAGGGAGTGCGCCTCGGTGCCCCGGACCCCCGTTTTGAGGGCTGCAGTCTGAGGAAGCCCCTTTTGGGGACGGTGGGGAGTCGGGCTCCGCCTCAGGGGGCAGGAGGGAAGCCCGGGGCCCCCGGCACTCTGGGCTGTAGTAGAAGGAAAGGAGGCGGAAGGAAGGCCGCAGCTCCTCCTGAATGCTGTCCAGGATGTGGGTGAAGCTTGGTCGCAGGCGTGGGTTCTGTTGCCAACAGCGGCTCATCAGCTCCTGCCTGGTGGGGTGGGAGGGCAGCGTCAGAGGGTCTACATCCCCTGCCTCTTGTACTGAGAAGGTCAGTCAGGATGAGTTGTGGGGGGGTGGGGGTGTGGTCACAGGGGAGTAAATGGGCATCATAATGGGGGTTTAGAATTGGGCTCAGAGCTGGGCATCAGTGGAAGTGAAAGCATCAGAGGAGGTAGACCAGGTCCCAGGGCAGGGGACGGGGGTAGGCAGAGCAGGGATGTGGAAGGGGCAGGCTGGGTGACTCACAGCTGAAAGGGACAGCTCTCTAGCTCCTCCAGGACCCCACCATCCATGACAAACTTGAGCACCTGCTCGTTGGACAGACCCTGGTAGGGTTGTTCAGCCAGGGTCACGATCTCCCAGAGCACCACGCCGAAGGACCTGGAGGACACACAGGAGGGCTTGAACCCAGCACCCTTCATGAGGGATTGCACCCAGGCCTCTCCCCAGACCCCACCTCCACATCCCCCGAGCCCTCTGCTCCAGCCAGGCCCCACCAGACATCCGAGTGGGTGGTAAAGATTCCATCTTTGAGGGACTCGGGAGCCATCCAGCGCACGGGCAGCAGCCCCTTCCCGCCCTTGCGGTAGTAGTCTGTCTCATACACATCTCGAGTCATCCCGAAATCTGGAAAGCAAGCGGAGAGAGGGTGTGGAGCAGCAGAGCCTTAACCAGCTCCCGCTGCAGGAATACCTCTCCCACTCTCTCCACCTCCAGAGTCTCTGAGAATCCTGGAAAGTGAGGGCTCTAAGTATATCAGAGACTCTCCCATCCGACCCTTTTGTACTTGGACAGGGAGACTGAGACTCGGGGGGGAGGGGAAGGACTACCAAGGACAGAGCTGTGGACCAGGCCTGGGTCCTTGGGTACCTAGCTTAGGAGGAGTCTCTCAATTCCTCAGATTGCCCCACCTGCCCGGCACCCTCCATACCCCCAATCTTGACGGTGAAGTCCTGGGACACCATGCAGTTCCGGGCGGCCAGGTCTCGGTGCACAAACTTTTTGGCGGCAAGATAGGCCATGCCATCTGCAATCTCACCGGCCATCTGGATCATGTCTCCCAGTGCTGGCCGTGGGAGCCCAGGGTTATTCTAGAGCCAGGAGAGGGGACGGGTGACGAAGGAACCTAGAGGCAGGACTCCTCACCAAGGATTACCCACCACAACGATGCCCGCGTTTTCTCTAACTCTCCAGCTCATTGGCTCAGTGTCTTCTCCCAGTCCTCACCTCTGCCTCGGGCCGCAAAGACCGAAGATGGCTCTTGAGGTCCCCGCGAGTCATTAATTCCATGATGACCAGAGTCGGCTGGCCCTGGGACACCACACCCAGGAGACGCACCTGAGATGAACAAAGAGCCTCGTTGCAGGTCCCCTCAGCTCTCCGTGACCCATCTGGCCAAAATCATGGCCTGCTATGACCACCCTCTGACCCAGACACCAAACCTCATCCTAACCCCAAGCATAAGCATAACTCTAATCCTGGCCTAACAATGACCATGACCTTGATTATGTCTGACTATCATCCTAGTCTTTATGATTGGCCCAACTCTGATCCCAATCATGATCCCAATCATGATCTTGACATTCAATATTGACTCCAACCATGACTTATCTCAGCCCTAGCCATGATTCTGTCATGACCCTACCATGACCCTGGTTTGACTCTAACCCCAACCATGACCTTTACACCAATTAGGGTCCTAACTACAATCCCAACCCTGACCTTGATGGTACCCTGACCTCAGCCCTGACACTATCCTCCTACCTAATTATGACCCTGACAATGCCACTGAGCCTCCCTTACCACATGGTGACACTTGAATGCCTTCATGACAGAGGCTTCCTTGAGGAACTCAATGCGTTCTCGTGGACTGGCCAGCTCATTCACCGTCTTCAGGGCCACAGGTGTGGTCTCCTCTTCAGCCTCAAGTCCTTGTGCCAGCCCCTCATATACCATCCCGAAGAAGCCCTGGCCCAGTTCCCGAATTATGGAGATCTGCTCCCGAGGCACCTCCCACTCGTCAGGGATGTACACTGAGAGGAGGTGGGGGTCACAAGGCAAGGATACTGCTGTCTGCCACTCCGCCTCTGAAGGGCTCAGGTCCCACGGCTGCCTGCTCCAAAAAGGTCTCCTGCAAGTTTGCCTCTCCACCCCTCCTGTCTCTTGTCCACACCACTTGTCCACTCACCCCCGACCTACCATCAGAAGCACTGAAGTACTCTGGATTCACAGAGGCATAGAGGGTCCTGTTTCTGCAACGGAAGGTGAGGGGGTCAGGCTGGAAGGTACCCAGGAAGGAAGGAGCAACATCAGAGGGCAAGGAAGAGGGACAGTGCAAGGAGAAGGGAAGTCCTGAACACCCTTGGCCCTGGTCAGGATGACCCCTCGGGGAGCTCTAAGCACTCTCTAAGCTGGTCTGGGTCTTCATCCTTAGACCCAGGAAGTAGGGAGGACAGTGTAGAGGGCTCCTGCCTCCTCAGCTAATCCTTAGACCCCTAGCTAATCAAAGCCCTGCCCCCACTTCCCTCTTTTATTCAGTCCCAGGAGGCACCTGACACCAAGCATCTACTCCTTCCTGATTGCACTGACTTTACGCTGAGGGCTCATGGAGAGAAGGTGGCTGGGGGCCAGTAGGACCTGTTCTTACCTCTTCTTGCTGTAGAAGAAACCAAGGGCAGCAAGAATGATGAGCAGCATGAGTCCCACGGGGGTGACAGTGAGAAGGTGCAGCCCCCCGGAGTCTTCCTCCTCTGGTGGCCAGTCAGTGGACAGGAACAGAGGGCAGCAGAGGGTGGGGTCAAAGGTGGAGAAGTCAGAGGGTAGAGGACACTTCTCTTTCCTCAGCGGAAGGTGAGGATGGGGAGCCTAGGGACCTGGTGGCACTGTTTGCGAGTACAGGTCTGGGACAGGGGCTGTGTGTACCTGAGCCAGGGATGTAGAAAGCGACACTTTCCGTCCAGGAGCCGTTGCCAGCCAGTGAGGTTGCCCGCACTCTGGCGGAGTAGTTTCCTGGGGGCAGCAGGGCCAGGTGGACGCCCCCAAACTTGGCATATCGCAGGCGGGACACACACAGCACTGTGGCCTCCTGAGGGCAACACAGAACAGCTAGCTGGCAGAAGGATGGAGGCACACACTGGGGCTGGGTTAGGGGGCCTTCCGGGGTACCTACCTCTCCCAAGCGGCGGTACTTGATCTCGTACTTGAGGATAAGTCCATTGGGGTCCGACGGCTCCAGCCAGCGCAGGAGGACACTGCTCTTGCTGGCCGCCTCCCAGGCCACCTTCCCTGGGATACCATCAGCCTCTCCTGCGGGAGGGGGCATCAGCTAGCCCAGCCACAAGGACAGTCACGTGCCCCTTAGGGATGTTTCTGTCAATAACGGACCACATATATGGTGGGGGTCCCATAAGGTTATAATAGAGCTGGGAAATTCCTATTGCTACTGACTTTGTACCTGTCCTAACGTCATAGCACAGAGCATTACTCACATGTTTGTGGGGATGGGGGTGTAAACCAATCTACTTTGCGGCCAGTGTATATACGTATAGCACATACAACTGTGTATAGTACATAATAGGCGATGATAACAAACGCTATGGTACTGGTTTTGTATTTATTACAATATACTTTCTGTCATCACATTATTATTATTTTTAATCCTCACATGAGGATATGTTTTTATTGATTTGAGAGAGAGAGAGAGAGAGAGAGAGAGAGAGAGAGAGAGAAACATCAGTGTGAGAGAGAAACATGGCTAGGTTGCCTCCTGTAATCACCTCAAAGGAGATTGAACCTTCAGCCTAGGTATGTGCTCTGATCAGGAATCAAACCTGCAAACTTTTTGGTGTGTGGGAACGACGCTCCAATCAACTGAGCCACCCAGCCGGGCTGTCGTTATTTTAGAGGGTACCCTTTCTACTCATAAAACATGGTCGCTGGCAAACAGTATGCGGTGTTATGGCTGCTGCATCTTGCGTGTTTACTGTGCTTCTTGATTGCATTTTCTCTTGTGCTTGATTTAATTCGTGTTGTTTTGTACAGTAACATGCTGTGCAGGCTTGTAACCTAGGAGCAAACAGCTATACCATACAGCGTAGGTGTGTCGTAGTCTATACCATACAGCGTAGGTGTGTGGTAGGCTATATCATACAGCGTAGGTGTGTGGTAGGCTATACCATACAGCCTAGTGTGTGGTAGGCTATACCATATAGTGAGTGCGCTCTCTGATGTTCTCTCCTTCAAATACAAACTCTAGGGGGCTAAGCTGGGAGGTTTGAGGAAAGGCTAGGATTACGGGGACGGGGAGGAGGATGAAGGCAAGGCCCTGGGGTTAGCTGGAGCTCAAACTCGCTAGCTGGAGCACTGATCGGAGAGGGCGCTTGGGGTCGGTGGTGGGTGTAGAAGGTGGGGTGGGTCACTCACTGTGGGGCATGGTGCGCGCAAAGACGAAGGTGGCGGCGCTGCAGCCCACAGCGTGCGCGGCGTGGTTGCAGGCATGGATGTCGATGCGGTACTCCGTGAAGTGGCGCAGGCCACTCAGCACTGCTCGCTCTCGGGGCACTTTGTCCTCCCGGATCTCGAAATCTGAGCTGTTTCCCCCGAGTCGGAGGTCCCCGGAGGCGCGGCGGTGCCTCCCGGAGGAGTCCCTAGGGAGGGCGAGAGTCAGAGCCAGGCGCCCCCACCCCGGCCGCACCCCTCAGCCTTGGCCCCGCCCCTGCTCACCTTTGAGGGCTCTTATTGATGGACGTCACCTTCCAGGGGGATCTGGGGAGACCAGGGAGGGCCCTGTCACGGTTGCAGACGGGGTGCACCGCTTCTAAACCCACCCACAACCAGGCTCCGCCAGCACACCCCACCCTCGGCAAGACACGCCCTCCAGCCCCGCCCCTAGCCCCGCCCCTTAGCCCCGCCCCGCCGCCGGCGCACTTGGGGATGGTGATGGCGTTGTGCAGAAAGTTTTCAAACTTCTTTTGGAACGAGGCCTCTTGCGCCTCCAGTGGCGGCAAGACCTGCCCCCGAGGTGGGTGTTGGCACGGGCAACAGCCGGGCTCCATCTCCGCCTCGAGTTCCCCGTCTTCCTGGTCGAAGCGGGGGTCGCTGTTGCTGGTGGGCAGCCGCAGGCCTGGCGCCAGGGGAGGGAGGCCGTTAGACTGGCGGTCGGTCCCCAGGCCGGCGCCCTGTCCCCGCGGGCTCACGCCTCCTCCCCGCGCACCGCGGTGGCAGTAGTCATTGAGGTAGAGGTCGCTGTCTTCTGCCAGGCGCTGCCACAGCACCAGGTAGTAGGTGAGGTTGCCATTCCGTTGGGTCGGTGGCTTCCAGCGCACCAGCAGGTGGGAGGAGGAGTTGGACGTGGAGATGACGTCTTGGGGAACGGTGGGCGCTGGGGTGTGAGGAGGGTACCATTGAGAAGCTTCAGGCCCCTTTTCAAATACTGTCTGGCCCCTGTCTCTGAGTCCAGCCTTCACTTCTCCCAAGGAATAGGTGACTCCCAACCTCCTCGTCCTACAACTGAGCAATTTTGTTCTTCCCTCGGCCCCAAAGGCCCTTGATTTGGCCCAGTTATTCCCCCTGCACTCTCCACCCTCTTAGGATCTAGGAGAATTCCCCCTATTCTTCTTCTTCTTTTTTTTAATCCTCACCCGAGGATATTTTTCCCCTTTGATTTTTAGACAGAGTGGGAGGGAATGAGGGAAGGAGGGCGGGAGGGAGAGAGAGAGGGGAGATAGAGGTTTGTTGTTCCGCTTATTTATGCATTTATTGCTTGTATGCACCCTGACTGGGGATCAAACTCACAATACTGGTGTATCCGAGGACACTCTCACCGACGGAACTACCTGGCCAGAGCCTGCCCCCTCTTCCTTCTAGAACTCAAGCATCTGGCCTCCCAGCCTCTATGGGCCAGGTGTTGGGTGACTCAGCATCTCTGTTTCTGGTGCCTGGACTCCCTCATCCTCACTAGGACCCAGGCATCTAGCTCCCACTCCCTCAAAGGCCTACCTGCAGGCAGGGTTCGGAGGTAGATGATGGGGCTCTGGGCTCCTTGGTGGGGGCTGTCCTCAGCAGTGGTCAGCGTGATGGCCCGCACAAACACTGCGTACTGTGTCCAGGGCTTGAGGGGGGCCAAGGTCACCCCTGGCTCCTGGTTGCGGCTCAGGGGCAGCTCCACATCTAGCAGGTTCCAGCTCTGGGCCCCACAGGCATCTGGACCTATGTGCTCCGTGGCGTTCTGGAACGGGCTGAACACCCCACCCCCAACTTCTAGCAGCCCCCTTCTCTCTGAATCAACCCAGGATTGCTGTTGTCATTCTTTAAATACACATGAGGACATCCAGAAGCCGATGTGCGTCCACCCTTTGGGGTAGGTGCCTGGTGGCACTGAGTGTGTCTGCTCAGAGCTGGATTGAGGCAGGATCCACAGTATAGTCTGTGAGGGGGCACACCACACCTGCCCTGCAAGGCAGTGATGGTGGGGGGCTTCCTGAAGGACCTCTACGACACTCTGCCCCTTGAGTATAGGTGTGCAGATTGTCAGCTGCACAAGCCGAGGGTGACATTTACATTGCAACCCATGTTAGTGCTCCTCAAAGTATGGTTCCGGGACTAGAAGATTAAGTATTACCTGGGAGCTAGCTAGAAATGCAGGTTCATGGGCTTTATCCAGGACTAACTGAATCAGACTCTGTAGGGTGGGGCCCAGGAATCTGTATTTAACAAACTCTGCCGCTCCCCTTGCTAGAGACCTTCACCTACCTCTGAGGCCTAGGGGAGCTTTGGCCATCTGAGCAGGCCCCCCACCATTGACTTCCCTCCCTTCCTCCCAGGCCAGTGAGCAACTACGCTCAGTGAGCAACTACGACCTCTCAATTTTAACTCCCAGGAACTGCTTCTAAGCCAGGTGGCTCCCACCTCCCCTCCACCATACGAGGGGAGTACCCTCACCCCTGCCCTCCCAGCCTGCCACCCCAAGTCCATCTCTCCTGGGAGGATTTCTGTTTCTGAGTCCTGGCCACGCTTTTGGGGAAGTCCTTCCTGCGGCCTAAGCACTAGCCCTCGGGCTTTGGTCAGTGCACACTCTCCCAAGCCCAGAGCAGCCTGTCCTCGTCTGTCCCTGCCCCCTTCCTTCGCCAGGCTTTAATGAAATGCTGGCCAAGCTGCATAGAAAACTGGCCAAATTAGTGGCTGCTCCCCAGACCGCTGCTGGGGCAGGAGCGTGTGGTCAGTACCGAATATTAGCATAGTAAATTGGAGTTTAATTATCAAGCCTTCCCAGCGGGCGCCTCTCCCTGGCTCTCCGAAGTCCTGACTCCCCGCCCCATTTCCCTGGGTGAGGTGAAAACCACACACGGAGGGATGAGGGGAGGGGAGGGGCCAGAGGTGGTGGACCCCACAGGGAGTGCGACTTAAGGCCCAGACTCAGAGGGTAACCCTCTCAGCCTGCCTTCTGCTGCCGTCAGTCCGGAGGATTTGGCTCCCGATCCGCCCCGCCCCCCTGGTCCCCGC